TTAGGTGTCTATTTACTTGTGACCACTCAGTGTAGTTATTCGTTTGGCAAAAAATGTTCTGTGTTATATCGAAACACTTAAATGCTATGCAATATATTGTTAGTCTGCAAAACGGTTAGAGCATTGTTAAAATAATACAGTTATAATAATTGCAGGTGCCTATTTGAAAGGCATTTGGCTTTTAGAACAGAAATGTAAGTCGTGAATATTTGCAATATGAAATTTACAAGCATTCATGTACACAATACTAGTATAGTAAATATACATGTAGGGCACATCAAAGTTACAACGATTGCACATTTTTTCTGTAATACTGAAATTACCATTGTCCTTATCTGAATATACACGTTTCATAATTGTGTTGGTCCCAATCATCGGGACCATCACTATCCTCTTCTGAATCAACTTCTATGCTTTCCTTATTCTCATTAATCAACTGATCGTTCTGGTTTGTACAATGTTGCATGAGGCACACATCTGTGCATTTCAGTTTACTGTCAAGACACAGGCAGGTACAAAACTTGCATTGTTTCCCGCATGTACAGAAAGAAGGTACATAACAGCTTGAGGTGCAGGTGGAACGTCAAACTAGTCTACTGCAAGGAACATTTTGTCATCCACAGTTTCCAAGCATTATCCATTGCCAACTGATTATGAAACTTCTGGTTGGCTTTCCAAATACCATTTCCAGATAGTGCTTGATAGTTCACTCGAAGACTGTTTTATCAAGGAGGATGAACATGGTGGTTAATGCCCAGGATTCCACATATCTTTTCTTGGCGCAAAAGAGAGCATACCATAACTCATTTACTTGAGTGATTAAACACTTTTTTGTTGTACATAAAAATAGTTAACTCATGATGTATATCAAACAGACTTGCCTTTAGCTCCCATTCGTCTCAAAATTTATGAAAAACATCACACAACCATATGTTTATTTTGAGGAGTTTAAGTCCAGAAACCTTCCAATAACCCACAAAAGCACTAGTGGTGTCACAGCCATTGTAGACCTCTGTACCTAGCAGAGTTCTGCAGACTTGGCTGCTCATGGCTCTTGAAAGGTTGATGTATTTGATTCGATTTTGCGTGCAAATTTTCAAATATAATTTATTAC